TTCTATATCCGGCCCGCAGACGGTCCGGGAATCAGCGTGTTTTTACATGAGTAGAATGTGTCCTTTTATTTACAATGCATCTCTGGGTTATTTGTGGGGCATAGGAATTCGTTCATTCCCCCCCCCTCAAAATATAGTCCGGCCCCCCATAAGGTCTGAGGGACAGTGGACCGACCCCAGCTGAAAAAGTTTGCTGACCTCTGAACTGACTCCTCATGCATGTGAAATTATGTCCGTTTTTGTAATGGGACTTCCCTCCACGCTCTCATGGAAGCAGATCTGCTCAAATGCGCCAGCCACATTGCACACCGCAGCTACATGGCACCCTCCCCCAAACAGCCGGTGTCAACATTAGTGTGGTATTGAGCAAACCTGAATTATGACTTAAGCTTACTGATTACAGAAGTGACTATGGAGGCCACTAGATTCTCATTCACACACAGAAATTTGTACGTACCTGGCAGGCATCACCGACACATGCTTCCTGATTGGGCCCAGTATCTTCGGGTGGCTAATCTAACCTGTGGTCTTCCAGATGTTGTTGGACTCCAACTCCCATCAGCCCTAGTCAGCATTCCCAGTGGTGAGGGATGTTGAGAGTTGTAGTCAACCAACGCCTGGAGGTCCGTAGGTGCTTTTCCTTAATTGATATGATGGTCAGGCCATGAAGAACCAAGAAACTGCTTGGGGATGGAGCTATGCTTGAGCCTTGAGAGACAGAGAACATTTTATTTCCTGATTTACTGTAAGGCACCAGTACGCAAACTAGAAGGCTCCCAGGTCTCACTTAAATAATATGTGCAATTAAGAATGAGGGAGGGGGAGAGGTCACAAGGGCAGATATTTGCTTAGCATTTTCCTTTTTTGTTTGTTTGTTTGTTTTTTTTGTTTCATAAATTTTTATTCATATTTGCACATATATACAGGAAAAACATAAACAAAAAATCCACCACATACCTTATACAAATTATATCCACTTCACAAATCATAAATGCTTAGCATTTTCCTAACTTTTTTGGGGGGGGGAATCCCATGGTTTAACAAAGGCTTTTTATCACAAACTTTGAAAGAGCTTTTTATTTTAATCTTATGAAAGACAAATTTGTCTTCCTTATACAAATTGGCTGAAACCCTGTTAAAATCATCTGATGAACTGTACTAGGACAGTAACAGTGATAAATCTTCTGTGTCTGGTTTCTCGTATTTCCTGATGTTCCAAAACACATGTAAGAAATGCCACCAACTTCAGCAGAACATTAATCTGTAATAAAAATGGATTAGGTTTGAAAGAAAGGAGATCAAGAAGGTCTATGTCTCACTGCAGAACGGCTTATGGAAGGTTGGCGAGAGGGGGAGTGAAAGCATCTCAAGAAAGAAGGTAGAAGAAAAAGGTAAAAAAGAAATGATAACTACAGCGTCAACATCCATAGCACTTTAATATAAGTCAAGGAAGGAAAGGGGAAAGGGTACACGTTTGAGGCCAAAGATCAAGGCGGGACAGAAATATATAAATAAATATTAGGGAAGAAGTATTTAAATCTCCCAATACAAACATGGGAGTAACTAGACACATTCAGCTAGGAAGCCTCTTTGGGGAAGTCCAGCAAGTTAACAGTGGGTGCCTACAGATGTATCATTAAAGCAGGAGCCACCACAGAATTTACCCTGACTTCAGCCACACTTTAAATCAGAGGTGGGCAGCCTTCGACCTTGCATGATCTACTTTCATTTTTACTAGAACCTCAAGATGCACCAACCAGAGCCAAAAGTGAGAGTGAACATGCAAGGAGAATTAAGTGTACTTCTCAGCACATACCCAATCAAGACATTGCGATTAATGTAATAGAACTGAGCTCACAAGCCTTTCACACTAAAATCCAGTCCTGGTTTTCCAAAGGTTTCCCTTTCTGCAGCCTAATTTACCAGGGTGGGTGGTACAGGGAACTATTGCAACTTATCTAGAGCTCCACCAGTAGATCCTGAGATACATTCTGCCCACTTCTAATATAAAATGATGGATGCACATATCAATGACTAAAACACAGATTTAGTCATCAGTCTTGCACCTCCTCCTGCCATGTCTTGGGCAGGTTGTTGACCTGTTAAAGAATTATTTATTAAAACTTAATATACATTTGTGATTTTAAGTGTTCCTGGTCACCTTTTTTTTAAAGAAAGGTCTTTTTGAAGTTGCAAAACTGCTCTGGACAGGGGAGGAATGGATTGGTAATGTCACTGGTATCAGCCAGTCAGTGCTGTGCTTAGACACCTTATGATACAAAATTGCAGAATTGTCGCCCCCCCGCCCCAGGTTGATCAGGAAAGAAAATAACAGAATGTGACAAACATACTTTCCAAAAGGCACCACTCCTCAAATAGTGTTATATCTGAACACACCCAATGGCACACAATTAGCATACATTGTGAGTGGAGGAAGGAAATTACATTGTGCTTTTCAACTACAGCATGGCTTTTAATAAAGTTAGTAAGCTTTACAGACACTTTGCAGCATTAGGCGACTAAAGCTTGTGATAAGAGAAGAATCTACAGCTCAGAAAGGCGTACCAAAGGCAAATACAAATAGCACCAGCACTTGGGCTCAACCTTGCTTATCCCACAGGGGTCAACAGATCAGGCCTCCCCAAACTGGTGGTCTCCAAATGCTCTGGACTCCAGCAACCATATCGGCTGCGGTTGAAAAGGGAAGAGCCCAGCAACATCTGGATGGCACCTGGGTTGGGGAAAACTGCAGTAGACTAAGGAGCAAGAAAGCCCAAGAATGCATAGTAGAAAACAGAACATTTATGTAGGTGCTGTGTAATTACCAGCCCCAAATACCACAGTATTTGCCCTACACAAACAGTAAGAAAGAGCACTCTATTGTAGCATTTATGATATCAATTCCCTCTCCCCCATTATATAATCTGTGCAATCAATAAGGCTTGTGCTAATCAGTTACACAAACATACAACTTGATTTACACGTGCATCTTTTTTGTACAGGTTCCCCACCCCCACCCCATTCCATTATGTTATATTAAGGAAAAATTCTAATTCAGCTTGGCTAAACTAGACACTAGAGTTAACACCTTTAACAAACATTACATAGGTTTAAAATTTGTGGTGACTAAATGGGGGGGGGGGGAACAAGTCACTGAAAAACTCTTTGGGGGTCAGGTAAAATAAGGAAGGGACTGACAGGGCTTGGAGGGTTCAGGTTCCTCGCTTCTTTCCCTGGAGACAGTTCTTGGGACTCTAGTTTTTAAGACAGTGTCCTACAGCATCACAGGCTATGGGTAGTTGTCCCTGGGCCCTGTCTTAATGCAACATACTTGGTGCATTTCAGATTGCAGTCATTACCCATAGCACCTGTTAGCTCCTGCTTTTCAACACAAGGCAGGCAGGCATCAAGTGGAAGTGTAGCACCCTGCTTGTGGTTAACGCTTAGCTGGAATGAAATATTCAACGCAGCAATAGAGAATTTAAAATAATAATTTATTTGTCAGACAAATAAATGAGAGGCACAGTGGTATATGGTTACCAAGCTCTGGCCTGCCTCCTGCCATTATGGCCAGCACTTATATTCCCTTAATCCAGCCCCCTTTGCTCCTCCTGTGGCTGCCTCTGTCCAATCAGCCTGGTTGAAATTCCTATTGGCTGATTGCTAGAACCAATCACAAAAAGATACACCCATATCCTCCTGTCCTTATATGGAACACAAAGAGCTATATATTTTACATCTATAAATGACAAATAAGTAGTAATATATCTTACATGTGTCTCAACAAGGAATCTTAATTACCAGCTCACCTCTTGCCCTCCTTGCCCTATTGCCTTCTAAAACAAATGGTTAATCTTAAATTTTTATCTTAAACATATGTCAAGGATCTTGAGTTCACATCAACATTGAAAGATCTCCTTCATTTGAAGGTTTCTAAACAAATGCCTGACAACTATATATCAGGAGTGCTCGATGGCGTCTCCTGTCTGGCAGGGGGGCTAGGCTGGTGGCTGACTTAATTTCAGGATAAATACAACTCTTACAACTATATGAAATAAGAATCTAGCATTTCTTAAATCCTTTGCATAATTACATTTAAGCCAATATATTTAATACATAACATAGGTAGCCTTTTAAAAGGAATAAGGCCTTTTTAAAGTAAAAAGGAACTTTAAAAAAGACTTCCCAAAAATGCTCTCTTTCTGCCAGCTAGATGCTTCTCCATTGCTCTTGGCCTTTTAACCTTAGAAAGAAGATCTGGCTCATTTTACTGGGAGGCACATTGGTATTATTTTACTATTTACTCATTCCTAATTATGTTTATCTCTGCTTTTTTATCTTCTGTAACATGTAGGGTCAGTGTCCTCACTCTCAGCCTGTAATTCCCCCTTTTTACGACTTTGAGAATTGTTTTCTGCTATAAATCAAGGGGCCCCTTGTCTAGGAGGAAAACATTGCCAAGGTTCTCTAAGCAGCTGGTCTTCTGCCTGGCATGAAACATTTGAAAATCTAAGCCCATTTAATTTAGGAACCTGATCAAGATATAAGCCAATATAAGCCTTGATTAAAAATGCAGTCTATATTCAGATGCCACATTAGATTGCATCTGCGTCTTCACACTGGACGATCCAGTTTGCAAAATAAAAATGTTTGGGGGCAAATTTTATTATTTCCCTGTCCCTCCCAACCAAGCAACACCCCCTGCAAAACAACAGACTTTTTGTCACTAAACCGTGCGCTTTAATAAAACCCAACAAAGAGCACTGATCAGATCAGCAATATTATTAGCCAGTCATGAATGGTCATCTTATAAAGAATGGGAGATTCTTCACGCAGAACATTGGCACTTCATATTCGCTTGAGAATCTAAATGCCAGTGTGTACAATCAGTAGACTTGAGTGGCAAAGCTGTACCTGGGCTGAACCATATCAGGCAGTGGATAGGGAGTGAGGGTTGGATGTTATCGCACAAAAAACCAAATTCCTACACACACAGGAGAGACATGTCAGAAGAGTTTACTCTTCTCAGTTATGTGCTGCTTTTGAATGTACAGGAAGACATTTAATGTATTCAAACAGGCGACCCTTCATCTGTAGCCTGGAGTGGTGTAAACTGGGTCTGGGTAGGTCAGACATAATAGGAAATCAAAAACACAGCTAGGCTGGAACTTTCCTTGAACACTTTAGCTTTTCAAAAGAAGATGATTTTGATGGGGGCAGGGTGGGGAATGTATTAAAACTTGTAATCACCCCTTGGTTTTGAAGTGGTACCCTCTAGGAAGGACTGTCCCCCTTTTCTCCCCATGCCCCACCCCAAATGTTTAAATTGGCTTTATTCCCTGTACGTGCATGCCTCCCGAAGTACATTTGCAATGCAAGTGAACATGAAAAGTTAGAGACACTTAAAGCAAAGGCTCAGACAGCTGAAATCTCTTCACCTTGGGCTGAGCCTTTGGCTGACAAGCTCCCGGAGACATTGTCAGAATCTAGTAGCTCAACAATGCTGTACGGGGAACAGTCTTCCAGGCCCATCTTGCTACACAGCCAGCCACAGAATCCTTTCTCCATATCCCTCACGGCATGCCACCAATCCCCAAAGGCCCACGAGATCTGTGTCACTGCTGTGTAGAGGCCCAAAGAGAAGGACACCACCATGATGATGATGGGGTAGAAGATAATTAGGAAAGGGCAGAAGGTGATCTTGTGCCAGAAGGTCCTCTCTTCGTTGTAGACCAGGAAGACATTGTACCAAGCAATGGTGCCATAGTAAAAGGACACCACAAAGGACATGATGAAGATGACGGGGAGACAGGTGAGGCTCCAGAGAAGGACATGGGGGCCTTTAGAAAGCCCAACTTCACAAGTTTTTTTCCCTTCAGGGATGTCCGTTTTGGGAGGCTCTTTCGACCTGGCCAGTTCTTGCAGCTCCTTGTCAGTGAGTGTAACATGAATGTCCACCATCTGGCCTTTCTTCTTTCCTCTTGTGATGGTGCCAGTTAAAGTAACGTATCTGCTATCTAATGGCATGGCCCAAGAACCTAGGAAGAAAGAGAAACTAAATCAGTTCAAGACAGAAAACTAAAGCAGAACTTAATGGCATTTTCAGCAGTGTTGTAAGAGTATTTTGGAAAACTGCAAAGAATTAAAACTGTCTGAGGCATTTTGGTTTGGTTTTACCAAAGCTTCTGATTTTACAAACACAACCCTAAAAGATGCAATGTTGTTAGCTCTGCACACAGCATATAAACGGGACATAGGTTAATCTTTTAGGGTTGTGCAGGTTCAAGGAATCCTGTCTCAGCACAGGGGAAAACTAGGTAATTTGCTCCAGCTATTTCACACTTATTCAGCAAGATGCTCATTTCAGGAGCTCTCGCAACAACACATTTCAAGCAACTGAACCATATAGCATGCCTTAAAGCAAAATAAAACAATGTGGGGGCAGCTGACAAATTGCTAACCAATTCTTTCTCTGCACCAAATAGTGACACAGTATAAAAAGCTGCCTTCAGCTTCTTAGGAAGGATGGGATAAACATTGAAATAACACAACAGCTCAGTGATAGGGCACCTGCCTAGCAGGTAGAAGGCCCCAGGTTTAATCCCCAGCATCTTCAAGCAGGTCTGGGAGAGACCCCGACTGATACTCTGGAAAGCCTCTGCTAGGCAATGTATACAGTACTGAGTTAGATATAGACCAATGGTCCAACTCCATATAAGGCAGCTTCCTATGTTCCTGTGCAGAATTCCTAACTTACCTGGGAAAACCAGCCATGTTCTGCACTGCCCTTATGTCTTTAATGAGCCAGTGTGGAGTAGTGCTTTGAGGTCAAACAAGGACTTGGGAGACCAGGGTTCAAATCTCCACTCAGCCATGAAGCTCAATGGGTGACCTTGGGCTAGTGTCACCACCCCTTAGCCTAACTTACCTTACAGGGATGTTCTGAGGATTAAATGAGGAAAGGGAGAAACAAATACATCACCTTGTGAGGAAATCAGAAGCTATGCTTCCATTTAAAATTAACTGCTACATCCTAATACTAAACTGTGGCTCACTCAACTGTGGTTTCTTGAAATAGCCCAGCTTCTTAAATTATGATTTCAAGTTGGCTTGTTTCAACAAACCATAGTAGAGATTAACCATGGTTTTGTTAAGTTTGGATGGCAACAGCAAGGTTTCTTGTGGTTACCATTTGCTCACGTGCTGGTGAAATAGCAGGTGGAAAAAACATGCTGCTTAAAGATCAGAAAGCTGAAGTAAGAATAAAATGACAGTTTTCATCATGGAGGGATGTAGACAGTGGGGAACCAGTACAATTTAGCATTTATAAATTATCAGGTGTGAGGGGAGAACAAAGTTTGTGAATGACACCGACATATTCAGGATGATGAAATTTAAAGGAGATGGGGGAAAGGTCCAAGTTGATCTCTCAAAACCATGTGAATGGGCAAGAAAATGAGATTTTTTAAAAGTTATGCAAACAGAGACCAATAAAATAAAGTTTTTAAACTGTTTATGTCTATCCAGAAAACTATGCCTTAGGATTGTTGTGAACAGTTTGCTGAAAACTGTCAACTCAGTATGCAGTGGCAGTGAAAATGGAAGAATTATTCAGAAAGGGATTTAAAACATTAAGTGGCACAATGTCTTACATCAGGGATGAGGAACCCATGAACCTCTAGATATTGTTGGACTACAACTCTCATCAGCCTCAGCCAGTATGGCTAATTGTCTGGCACAAACAGAGTTGTAGTCCAACAACTGAAGAACCACAGCTTCCCCATTCCTGCGCTATATACTGTATATGGAATACTAGTACTAGTCGGGTTCCCTAATATCACAGAGGATTTCTATTAATGGTAAAAATATAGGTAATGGTACAGAAAAGCACCATCAAAGCAATTGGGGCTCCTTTGTGAGGAGAACCAGTGTTTGATTATTATTATTTTGTTTAGAAAAAAAGATTACTAATGGGAGACATTTAAGGTTTATAAACAGTCCTCAGGGAGTGGGACTGTAAATTCTGAGTCATTTTGCTCCAGGGAGGTCTGTGAATTCTCAGTCACTTTGCTAATTTAGTTATTTGTAATCCAATTAACATAATATGCTCCAGCTATCTGCTCTTTATGCTTATTTTGTATTTTGTATTTGTGCTCTGAATGTTTATACCTGATGAAGAATGTGTAGTTCAAAAGTACACAGCCATGAATTTAAATATATGATATTTACTCACAGGTAAGGCCCCCTGTGTTCCATAGGATTATCTCCCATGCTAGTGTGCATAAGGCTGAATGTTAGTCCAAAAGTAATAATAAATCACACCCACACACAATAATGTGACATTGAGTGTGTCATTAACAAGGGTTTTAGGTGCACGCAACGCTACGTATGATCAGGCTGAAAACTTCCTGGTTTTATTTTCCCCATATTTCTCATCAAATAATGATGCACCTCTACATTGTCACAACTAAGAATTACATTTTTCCAGACACCAAAAGCAGGAAAAACCTCTGGATTTATTGCACAAATGTTGGAGACACCAAAGGCCAAGAAATAACTCATCATTTGAGAACTGCTTCTGTTAGGGCAAGAATAAATGGAGAAAGTTTAGTGAATGTGTGGGATTAATGATTGTTTGGCTATTTCACCTAAATGGCTGAGGACAAAGACCAGGGATAGAATCTGTGGTGGTGAGAATGGTATGGATGCATCTCCTTAAAAAGACGCAAAGCAGAGCTAATGGATAGCTTGAAAAGCTGGGACTAGAGTGTAGTATAATGTAGCAGTTGAGAATGTTGGACTAGGACCAGGGAGACTGGGGTTCAAAGCCTCATGCAGCCATCAAGCTCACTGGGCCAGTCACTGTCTTTTAGCCTACCCCACAGGGTTGTTATGAGGATTTAAAAGGGAAAGGAAAGCGCTCCTTGGAAGAAATGTAAGGAAGAAATGTAATATTTATTTTTTTATAGCTCAATGGCTATTTTGAATATGCTTGAAAGCCAAGACTCAATTTATTTATTTTTGAGACTTTGTTTTAATTGCTCCAGGAACCCTGAAAGCTCAACAGACCTGTGAGTGGGAACCTGGTTATCTGAGAATACCATACACTGGGACAAACACAGGAGGGCGAGGTTGGGGTCTTAGAAACTAACCTAATGACCTTGGATCTAATGGGTTCAGCTCAACAGTTAGCATCACCCACTTACAACTTCAAGATGAAAACTCAGCAATATAAAGTGAAAACTTGCACACCTAGGATTTTCACAATTAACAAAGCAAGTCCAGAGGTAGCGACTATGCATTGACAGAACTCTGCTCTCTACATGACCAAGGTTGGACACCTGGGTCATATGCTTCAGTATGAATAGACAGGGATCATGTTTAGACCTTGTTATTGAATAAAGAACCAACTGCAAGATATAGCTGTGTTTGGACTTTGACTACCCTCTGCAAGCTATTAAAAGGGTAGCTGATCACCCACTAAAACTCAGCAGCTCAAAGGCACAAACTGTGTGTAACACTTCCCATTGTGAAAGAAGCCACAGAAGCCCCTTTCCTCGCACTCTGATAAGGCAGCAAAGCGTGCCTGATGAATCACAGACTACTTGCATTTACCATCGGCAGAGTGTCCCAAGAACTTGGAACCTTCCTCTGAGCTTCTCTCGCCCCCATCCTCCTCCACCTGTTCTTCATCCACCTTGTTCTCGTTCCCCGATCGGTAGACGATGATCGATTCTGGGCGGGACTCCTTCTTCCTCTTCTTCCGCCTCTCGGTGGTGGCTTCTCCATCGAAGGTCACTGCAGTAGCTACAGCCCTGCGCAAGGAGTTGCAGTGAGGGCTCTGTGCCCCACCCTTACCCTCCCTTACGGCAGGCTCCTCCGCCACCCCACTGCTACTTTGGAGGCTCTCGCTGGGCATCTTGGCAAGGGAAACAAAAGAAGTCAGCTTCTTCGGTACTTATGAGCTGTCAACACTGATATGTAGGAGTCGGTGCTCCACCTAACAGCAGCAACCATTTCACGGCACAGAACGAACACGTTCCACGCCTAACCCTAAAAATGGGAGAAAAGGGAAGTAGCAATCAGTACACATATAAATCCAATCCACTTATTAAACGAGGAGTAGTCATGCAGATGTTGATGGTTTATAACTCCCACTATCTCAAATGGATGCGGCTGATGGGAGCTGAAATTCAGCAATATCTGGGGTACCACAGATTCCGCATCCCTGTATCAATCTGGAAGCAGCATCTTAACTCTCAGGCGGCATGTACAAAGTCCATTTTGGGGGCCTAATCCCAATTTTGGGGTAACTTCAATCCTAAAAAAGCTCAACAACTTCAGCCAGCTCTCATACATGTTCACTTCATCAAATCTGGCCCTCTTTGAAAAAAGTTTGGGCACTCCTGGCCTAGAGGGCGTTTGCTAGGAAAACACAGAGAACTTTTAAGAGGTAGTGAAATAAACTGTTATTGTGCATAATTTTGCTGCTTTGTCTTCAGGGATTCCTACTGAAGCTGTTGAGCTTTTGGAAGTTTTTGCCATTTGTTAACAGGGCTTTTTGTTGTACAAAGTAAAGGGAGATGTGGCTAGCTTTAGTCAACACCGAAGGCTATACAGTATTGCAATGTTCTTAGGCTGGCAGGGCAGAAGCTAATTAGCATTTCTTATTTACAAGAAAGACAAATTATAATCATGTTTGAACAAACACAGTGAACACGTTACAGTGGATATGCTGTTGTTGCCCATAATATCATTAAGGCACTTTTCATTTAGAAAGTAGCAATTAAGTTATTCTGCAGATGAATGATCATGACTTAAACCAAGATCTCAATTTACCACCAATTAAGGTTCAGCAACTGGGGAAATATCCTCAGAAATAGATACACTGCCCAAAGAGACATTATAATTGTTATTAATTTTCATTTATGAATTTCTTCTCATGAAGCATCACAAAACAATTTCACAATACAATAAAAACACATATTGCATGCATAAATCACAGAATCGCACAGTTGGGAGGGATCCCAAGGGTCATCTAGTCCAACCCCCCACAATGCAGGCATCTCAGCTAAAGCATCCATGACAGAGGGCCAGCCAACCTCTACTTAAAAACCTCCAAGAAAGCAGATACTATTGCATATTCATAAACACATTTTCAAATCCAATACATGTACCAACAGAGATAAAAATCTTGAAAGCTTGTTGAAAGTGGAAAACTCTTTAACAGGCTCTGAAAAAAAGATGTCTGGTGTGGATTGGGAGTGAGTAGCAGGGTAGGTGCCATCACATTAAAGCTCAATTTGTGTGGAATGGACATCCCTGATAAGACAATATCTTCAGGGTACTCTTACTGAGTGCAGTGAATATACTGTACAGTATTTGGGTATCCTGGTCTCAAAAGGATTAGGGCTTTCCACGCAAGTACCAGACCTTCTTCTTAGCCTAGTGGCTAATTGCTTGCCAGTGTAATTCTTTCCACACCAGCATAATACAATGGTGAAATTCTATCCCAGTGATATTAGTCTCATTATATCTTCCCAAGACTAGCAGGCTACCAATAATGGCTCAAATGCCAAGGAAGGTCTTGAGGACGACACAAAACTGTGTTGTGGACAAATTTATGGATTACCACAGGAAGGTGTTGGCTAAATTCAGGCAAAGGACTCAAAATCAGTGCTAACTCTCAACTTCCAAATAATAGAGCCAGTTAAGAGTCAGAACTTAAGCTGGGCCAAATCACTGTGTCTTAAAGTCTCATCTATCTCAGAGGGTTGTTGTGAAGCTGAAACAACACTTGAGACTTGCGTTGAGTTACAAACTGTCTGTCGCTGGGCTAAATCAAGAGGAATATAAATCAAGAAGAATATATAAATATTAATTTAAATATATAAATATATATCAAGAAGAATATATGCCAGTGTGGTGTAATGGTTAGAGTGTTGGACTAGGACCTAGGAGAGCAGGGTTCGAATCTCCACTCAGCAATGAAGCTCACTGGGTGATCTTGGGCTAGTCACCATCTCTTAGCCTAATCTACCTCACAGGGTTGTCCTGAAGATGAAATGGAGAAGAGAACCATGTACACAACCTTCAGATCCTTAGAAGATAAAGGTGGTATATAAAGGCAATAAATAAATAAATACAAGTAATAAATCATTGATGGATAACAGTTTGTTGCGTTCATATTCTCTTTTAAGAAGGCCAGAATTTGTAGGAACTTATAAAGGTTGCAGACTTATTTGCAGTTCAGTCTTATGCAGTTAGGTTGTGGGCCATCCCGTTACACAAATTTATTGTCGATTCCGGCGTATAAGACAACTTTTGAACCCTGGAAAAGAGGTTAAAAAGTCTGGGGTCGTCTTAAACACCGGGTATGGGTGGTGCGGAGCAGAGCCCGCCTCCTGCTGCTATGGCAGCGGCTCCGAAGCAGCAGTGGTGGCAGCTGGCTCTGCTCCATACCAGGAGAGAGCCGCCCGGCACGGAGCCCCCTCACTGCTGCTTCAGATGCAGCAGCAGGGGCAGCAGGCTCCGCTCCGGGTGGCTTTCTCCCAGCGCGGAGCTGCCCAGCATATTAGGCGACTGGGCATAGAAGACGAACCCCCAAATTGCAAATTGGGACGCGGGTGGCGCTGTGGGTAAAAGCCTCAGCACCTAGGGCTTGCCGATCGAAAGGTCGGCGGTTCGAATCCCCGCGGCGGGGTGCGCTCCCGCTGCTTGGTCCCAGCGCCTGCCAACCTAGCAGTTCGAAAGCACCCCCGGGTGCAAGTAGATAAATAGGGACCGCTTACTGGCGGGAAGGTAAATGGCGTTTCCGTGTGCTGCGCTGGCTCGCCAGATGCAGCTTGTCACGCTGGCCACGTGACCCGGAAGTGTCTCCGGCCAGCGCTGGCCCCCGGCCTCTTAAGTGAGATGGGCGCACAACCCTAGAGTCTGTCAAGACTGGCCCGTACGGGCAGGGGTACCTTTACCTTTACCTTTAATTTTGGGGGGTTGTCTAATACGCCCAGTCGCCTAATACGCCGGAATTTATGGTAGGTACAGTCATTCCTTGTGTTGCGTTAGGTTCATGTTGCGTCTTTTCGGCTTGCGAACACAGCAAACCTAGAAGTGCATACTTCTGGGTTTAACCCCGTGTGCACATGCAGAAGCGTTCTGTGCGCTTTGCACATGCGCAGAAGCTCTCTATCGTGCTCCGTGCTTGCGCAGAAGTGCTATTCTAGTTGCAGACTTTTTGGGGTGCGAATGGCACTCCAGAACGGATCGTGTCCGCAACTAGAGGCACCACTTTATCCGTCAGCAATTATCAATATTCAGAAAGAGCTGAGGAACATTTAGATCAGTGGTTCCAAAACTATTCACCACCCCCAACCACTTGAAAATTGCCGCATTTTTTGGAACCACTGATCTAAATGTTCTGAATATTGAAAAAAATAAAATAAACAAAAACATCCATACATTAAAAATCAGCAGGAGCATTTTAGTGCTATGGATGTGTCTGTAAGTGTTGAACAAAGTTTTCTGATTTGTCATTATTCATCCTGCTGCTGGCCACATATCAACTCTCCACTCCTTTCAAGTGCCTTGTCAGTCTTGCTTTATTCCTCAGAGGAAGGAAAAATCTCCACACCCTCATCATTTCTGGTCAGTCTCGCCCCCCTTCTAGGCAGACAGCCAGGTTCCAAGAATGATGGAGCACCTGCTGCACCCACCCTTTCCCACACACATGTTGCTCCTCAGGGCTGCCACTGCAAATCACTTAAATGGAGCTCACAGAGCACACTTTGGGGACCCACACCTGACACAGAGTCCACAAATTGGAGGTGCAGAGAAGTCTTTCTGAGGAGCTTACAGTACAAGATGCTTATATGGGGCTGACTCTCAAGGAAGTGTGCACAGAACTGTAAGGTAAAGGTAAAGGTACCCCTGCCCGTACGGGCCAGTCTTGACAGACTCTAGGGTTGTGCGCCCATCTCACTCTATAGGCCGGGGGCCAGCGCTGTCCGGAGACACTTCCGGGTCACGTGGCCAGCGTGACGAAGCTGCATCTGGTGAGCCAGCGCAGCACACGGAAACGCCGTTTACCTTCCCGCCAGTAAGCGGTCCCTATTTATCTACTTGCACCCGAGGGTGCTTTCGAACTGCTAGGTTGGCAGGCGCTGGGACTGAGCAACGGGAGCGCACCCCGCCGCGGGGATTCGAACCGCCGACCTTTCGATAGGCAAGCCCTAGGCGCTGAGGCTTTTACCCACAGCGCCACCCACGTCCCTGCACTGTAGACTTAGTCAATTAATTATATGAGTTCTAATAACTTTAAATCAATTAAATCTTAATAAGCATACAGACAAAACACCCACCCACACCCCAAAACCATTTTTTAATAGAAGAAACTTGTGCACACATATGGAACTGAGTCTAAGCTTTTTTTCCAGGGCTTTTCCGGTGACAAATCTCACTGGGATAGAGTATTGGCACTTGTTTTATTTTGCTACCCAGGGCAGCTATTTTGTGCTGATACCCATGACACTTTTATCAATATACGAGTACTGGCACTTCATTTTATTTTATTTTGTCAAAAGAGCACTGCCTATGTCCGTTGCCCTACTCTGGATTTACACCTGGAGCAGCACTGGGCTCAAAGTATCATGGGCTCTTCTTTCAGATCTCCCTTATCTTCCAGGACTGGCTCAAAAACATACCTTGGCAGTGGTGGAGGAAGGGGGTGTGGTAGGGGTGGTCTGCCCCAGGTGTTACCACTGAGGGGAGTGACAAAATGCTGGGTGGCACTCAGTGCGGGGCCTGCAGCGCGCCCATGCCACGCATATCTCCTGGGAGAGACGTGGTGATTTGGGTGCGCACAGGCTCCGTGCTGCCCAAACGGTCTGCCCTCTGCCTCCCCTCAGCTGTAGGGCAGCTGGGTGAGAGGAGGCAGGCAGACTCCTTGGAGGCCCCACAGAGCGTCCTGCCCTGGCTGGCCCCACCCCCACAGGCGGCTGGCCCCACCCCTGGGTGCTGCCCCAGGTGCGTGATCAGCTTGATCCACTGCTGTACCTTGGTGGAGGAACTGAAAGGTTGCTCATGGTTTGACAACAAGAAGAATTCCTAGGGCAGTAGTATGAATGTCAGCTTCTTCCAACTCTGCAATTTTATGATTCTATGTTTGTATCCAGTAATTGAGAAGGATATCATTGTTGCTCCTTACAGTGGTGCTCTGGCTACTTAAAATACCTCTACGTCAAATCTGCCTAAGTACCACTAGCTGATGCATTAGGGTAAAGGTAAAGGGACCCCTGACCACTAGGTCCAGTCATGGCCGACTCTGGGGTTGCGGTGCTCATCTTGCTTTATTGGCCGAGGCATGACTAAGCCGCTTCTGGCAAACCAGAGCAGCACACAGAAACGCCGTTTACCTTCCTGCCGGAGAGGTACCTATTATCTGCTTGCACTTTGACGTGCTTTCGAACTGCTAGGTGGGCAGGAGCTGGGATTGAGCAACGGGAGCTCACCCTGTCACGGGGATTCGAACCGCCAACCTTCTGATCGGCAAGTCCTAGGCTCTGTGGTTTAACCCACAGCGCCACCCGCATCCCCAGCTGATACATTAGCCGTATCTATATTCTCAATAGCTGGTGGTTAACATACTGAACACCACTGCCCAGATTCTATATAGCTTTTAAAGGCGTTTTCCAGAAACACGCTGTTTCAGAACAAAGGGTTATTTCAAACCACAAACTTCAGGCTAGTGGGATCTACTTCATTTTTACCAGAAATCTGAGATTCACCAACGAATGTCAGGTGCAAAAGTCATGCACATAAATAACTATAAGGCCAGGAATTTAGAGTTTTCTCAGCACCAGTCTTGAATGAACTCAGTATCCTTCTACACAAAAATCCACATGGAACAGACTTTTGAAAACTATCATCCAAGTTACAGAAGAACTGCTGGTAGAAAAACAGATTTGGGCAAGATGTCAGAAGCATCACAGTTAAAAGCTTCAAGTCCAGAAGGGCAGCATAATTTGCTGCCAATTTCCTCTTACAAAGTGATCTAACCTAAGTAAATCCCATTTAATTGAAACCAATTGGCTTGGGAAGGAACTTCACAGGCCAGGTGCAAGAGGGAGGGCATTCATAGCTCAGATTTCATTAATAATAATAACTCAAATGCACAAACTCTTTTGACGTGTATACCAGATTTTGCCACAAGCCAGCTTGCTTGCAAGGGGTGTGTACGTGTGGCTCTCTGTCCTCTTCTTTATAATGTAACAAATGATTTAGTTGCCCCTTTCCAGTATATATTGAGGAATCCGCTCTCAGGGAACTCACTTCCTATATGCCAGGTATGCCCTCAGATGGGATTTCTCCAACAACCCCAACTGCAGAGGATCCCTCTGCAGTTCTGGAATAGTGAGCTCTCTTTAAAAATAGAACATCGGCCAGGAGCATCGTGGAAAGGGAAGGAATTTCACCAGAATGAGATCTGAGGGTCTCTTTCACAAGCATTCCCTGCAGGGAGCCGGCACTCCTCGCGTGACAGTGCGCACCACAGCCGCCCCAATTACCCAAGTGCTTGGGAGGGTGCGGGCAGGCGCGACATCTGGCTTGCGCTTTAAGTGGAAAGGGATGAGGATGCACGATCGCTTAGGGCCGACCAGTCAATCAAACCCTCGCGCTTACCTGCTCCTGCGAGATCAACGAGGCCTGCAAGAGGGGTGGGAAACTGTCTCTGTCGGGCTCCCCACCTTGGGATCATAGCATGGAAGGGGCGCCATGGAGCCTTTGGTCCTTCGCCTCCCCAGCTGGCAACCGGGTGGGTGGGGTAGGATGTGTCGCCGCCTCTTCTCCCACCACCCTTTACCCTGGCAAGGTGAATGCAGCCAGGGAAGGAGGAGTTCTCTTCCTCTCCCCTCGCCCCAGTGGCCCGTCTGCCCAGGAGATGGAGAGCGGCGCTGGGGGCGCCGGGCAGGTCCGCTTCAGCGACGAACGGCTGGATCGCCGTCGGGATCCCTCCGCTTGGAGCTGCTCATCGCCGCAGTCAACGGGTCTCGGCATAGCTCGGTTGCAGCAGGCACGATGGCTGGGGCGCTGCTGCTGCTCCCTCTTTTCCCGACGGGTGAAGCCATCAACCCTCAGGCTGCGGCGCTGGGTGGGAGAGGCTCAGGATCCCATCTCTCCCACCCACCCTTCCTCTCACTGCATGCGCGCGGAGAAGCAAGCCACGATTCCCTCTCTGCGCGTCGAGGAAGAACCGGAGGAGAGGGGCGATCTCCCCCCCCCCACCCTCCGTTCTTCCCTCTAGCTAAATGCAGGCAGCAGGGAAGGGGGCAGGCCTTTTGTGTTGCGAGGTAAAAAGTGTGGGGGGGGGGAGAGAAAGAAGGCCGCCGCCCCTTGCGACCCTCCACCCTTTTCTGGCACGCATGCAATAGGAGAAAGCGCGCTCCTCTTGGCAGCCCACTGGGTTGCACTGCGATGAGGACGCCCCGCCCCGTCGGGGCTACAAAGCCGCACCAATAATATAACAATTCTAATGCTAAGAATACTCTTGATGCTCCTGCAGCCTGCGCTTGCTTTGGTGGCTTAATTCAGGAGGAGGGGAAAAGGAGGCGGGGCTCTGGGTCACGTGGTGCTAACCCCTCCCCCCTCCCCCTCGAAGGCTGCTGGTGGCTTTGGAGACCTTAGATCTCTTGAGACCAAGATGGCGGCGGCGGCGGCGGCGGCGTCTTGTGGCGGCCACGGGGGTCGCTTTCTGGCGTCCGGGCTGTTCCGCAACCGGGTGGCCATCGTGACCGGCGGGGGCACCGGCATCGGCAAGGCCATCACCGCCGACCTGCTGCAGCTCGGTGGGCAAGGGGCGATCCGAAGGGGAAAGAACCAAAGGGAAGCCCCCGGGGACTCCCCCAAAATCGGGAGTGAACCAAGCGGGGTACCCTCGCTGCGCACGCATGCACGCATTCACACGTCCCCTCGGGAGGAAATAGCGGGTTGGTGGTCGACTTGGGCTGCCCCGTGTCTTCTCTTTCCTTGTTTTCAACAGGATTGGCAGGAATTCAACAGGTGTAGCCTCCCAGGGGCGTAGCCAGGGGGTTGCAGGCTGCCAAATTTTGCAGCACCTGATGTTTTCAAACCATCTTCAGAGGCAGTCCTGCATATAACACATCGCAGTAATCTAACCTAGAGGTTCCTAGAGGAGTAATCTAACCTAGAGGTTCCTAGAGCAGTTAGGCTACCCTAGTCCAGATAGGGCCCCCACTGGGTTACCAGCTAAAGCTGATGGAAGGCACTCCGTGCGACAGAGACCACCTGAGCCTCAAGCGACAGCAAAGGATCCAGAAATATTCACAGTATCCAAGCTGTGTACAGTACATGCTTCTTCAGAGGGAGAGTAACCCCTACTGTGTCTTGATAAGCTAGTTGTTTTATATATATTTATAATGATTATATCCCATCTTTTATTCAAGGAGCTCAAGGTGGTGTACTAACTTTTCTCCCTTTGCATTTTATCCTTACAACAACCCTGTGAAGTAGGTTAGGCTGAGAGACAGTGACTGGCCCAAGGTCACCCAGCGACCTTCATGGCTGAGTGGGGATTTGAACCCTGGTCCCCCTGGTCCTATTCCAGCGCTCTAACTACAGCACCACACTGGCTCATCATTGCCTTTGGCCCCTGTCCTAGAGGATTAATGTCTCTTGTTAATCAGCGATATATAATGTCAAATCCAGGAAGGCAGATAATGAACTCTGATTCTCTAAGCTACACTTGTAACTGATGGATAACTGAGCTGTAGGGAAAGTGACTGGCAGTTTGAAAAAAAGCTAGCTATATCTGTGTGCTTTACATGGGTCACACCAGGGAATCAGGCCATGTCACTTGTGTGTTAAGTAGGGCAGGCATTAAAATACCAAACTAACTCATCTGCTGCTGAAGATTCTGTACCTCGTTTGTGGCTTGAACGATGAATGAAGTCATGAACTACGGGTGGGCAACTTTTTGCCATTGAATGTTGTTTTACTGAAACACACCACATTTTGATTAACACATGGTGTGTGTACATGCAAATTCTGAAGCCAAGCCACAAATGATAGACTTCTTCATTTGTTCATCGAATGAAATGTCCATAAAATGTTCATCATTTGTCCATTCTGGTATAATTCAGAATGTAATAGCATGCTTTTGGAAATACTAGAATGTACTTTCTGTTTTGGATAACCTCTGACTCTCCCTGTCATCATGGCGAACTGCAGATATTCTATTATTTGGACCTGCCACTCATTTATCGTAGGTGTTTTATCACTTTCCCAGTTTCTTGCAATTAAGACCCTGGTTGCTACTGTCATGGACATAAAAAGTGGTCTAACATCTTTTTTAATTTCTGGTGACGTTATACCTAGAAGGAAGGTTTCAGGTTTTTTCTTAAATGAGAACTTAAATAACTTTTTAAATTCATTATAGAAGTTATTCCAAAATTCCTTAATGGCTGTGCATTCCCACCACATGTGCATATATCTGCACTTCTAGGTCAAGAAGTGATGGTGGGCATGGTTCTTTGTAATCAAAAGAGGTCTTGTTTCTGTTGTCGTTAGCACTACACTAATTTCATGTCTTACAATTCAAATTCTACCATTGGCTTAGGAAGTTTCTGTGAGATGGCTTTCCAGTTCAGTAGTGGGGGGGGGGGTACAATTTGAAAGCTTAAATAACAATTTATAGAAGCATTTCAGGTATCTGACTTTGCAGACTTCCAGAACCGCCAAAAATGCTTGACAATCCAGAAAGTCATGATTGAAGATGGTTATCACAGTCTGTGTACAGTGCCATTTGTTAAGCAAGAACCCTTGTTGCCTCTACTAAAATGCAACCATGGGCATAGCCAGGATTGGGGTGGGGTGGGGGCAGAACCATGTTATCTGTGACACAATTGGTAAGTTTATTAAGTATTTTATTTACTTGATTTGGGGGGGCAGCTGCCCATCCTGGCTGTGCCTATGAAGGCAAGACTATTAATGTCTAAAATGTCTTTCTCCCCTCTTTTTTGACAGGTTGTAATGTAGTCATTGCCTCCCGCAAATTCGACAGATTAAAAGCTGCAGCGAACGAGCTAGCTGCCAAAATTCCATCCACAGTTTCTGCCCAGGTTACCCCTGTACAGTGCAACATTCGCAAAGAAGAGGAGGTAAAAACAAAATACTTTTGTGCTGTAGAGTGGACATCTAGTGTACTGGTTTGCTGGAGAATATTTGCCTTGAGTGTATTACACACATACAAAATTTGATTTATTATATTTCTGTGCCGCTCTTAATTAAAATGAATCCCAAAGCAGCTGGTAGTTCACAGTATTTTTCAAAGAGGTTGTTGTAAGAGTAGTACTCTGTGATGGGAAAAGATTTATATCTTGTTGCATAATTGTCTTTAATGTTGTACGTCGCTAATAACAGCCTCCTTTGCCAATGTTGAAATGACTTCTGAAGAATGTAGATTTTGCAGGCATTGAGAAATGTACACATGTGGGTGCTTGCATCTGGAGATTGGATCTAGAAGCCAGCCACTTTGACTTAAACAGTGCATCTGGATTATTCCAAAGAAAAGGGGGAAAGGCCAATTATTTTTGGTGACTTTGTTTTATAAGGAAGACATGTAACCTGGCTGTTGCTTTGACTAAGATAAATTGTTGCTTTCCCTAAATCATTTTGGTTTTTTATTTCGTGTAGCTTAGAAGAGTCACCCAGTCTGATTATGAAAGTGGTAACACCCAGTTGTTTATGTTGTTAAGGTGTGTTGCTGGTTCTACTTTTAAAAAATAATTGGGGAAGGGCTTTGTAAAAGAGCAGTGGGAAGGGGAAAGTTAATGTTCCTTTTTGCTAACTCTAAAACGTTTTTTGTGTGCATCTTACTATCCTTTGTCACTACGAACCATTTAATTATTCAGAATTCAGACTGCAATGCACTATCTGGGTCTGCCCGAAACCTCATGTGTATCTGGAATTATTTGTCTCACATTCATGAATAAACTTTTAAGATTTGGCATTTGTCATAATTTCCTTTCTTTTTGCATATGCTTCTTGGTTTCCTAATCCGTGGATGGTGGTCACTATTTCTCTTGGTAATCCTTCAGAGCCATTCCTGTTTGTAACCTGTCTTTTGGAGCTGGAGGAAGACATTTTCTCTGCGGGGTTTTTTGAGAGTTGAAGGCAGTAGGGTTGCAGATGCTTGTTTCTTTTGTCATGGTATTGCGTGGTTTCCCAAACTTGGGTCTCCAGCGGTTATTGGACTACAACTCTCATCATCCTTAGCTAGCAGGACAAGTGGCCAGGGATTATGGGAATTGTAGTCCAAAAACAGCCGGAGACCCAAATTTGGTAGTGCTTCAACAATTACTAGATATTATAAGCAGTGTTATAGCTACTGGGGGCTAGCCAGGTTTTTTGCCTCGGGTGAATGCTTCAGAGGGGTGCCATTGAGGCTCCCAGCCTGTGTGTGTGTGTGTGTATGCAAATGTGTGGAGTGTGTGTGCTAAACTGCATCTTTGACCTGGGTTTTCACCCCTGTTTCAGGGAAAGGGCTGTAGCTCCTTGGTAAAGCATGTGTGCTTTGCATACAAAAGATCCCATGTTCAATCTCCAACATCTCCAGGTTAGGCTGGAAAAGACTTGCAGTCCTGCAGATTCATGGCCAGTCAGCTGTAGGCATTGAGTTTTTATTTTGATTATATATTTTGTGGCTTTATATTTCAATTTTGTTCTGTGAACGGCCCTGATACCTCCAGGTACAGTGGTGCCCCGCAAGACGAATGCCTCGCAAGACGGAAAACTCGCTAGACAAAAGAGTTTTCCGTTTTGGAGGTGCTTCACAAAACGAATCTCCTATGGGCTTGCTTCGCAAGACGAAAATGTCTTGCGAGTTCCTGTGGGTTTTTTTCCCTCCCCCCTTTTTCTAAGCCGCTAAGCCGCTTATCAGCTGATCCGATAAGATGATAAGCCGCTAAAAGCCGCTAATCCGCTAATCCGTCAATGGGCTTGCTTCGCAAGACGAAAAAACCGCTAGACGAAGAGAATCACAGAACGGATTCTTTTCGTCTTGCGAGGCACCACTGTATAGGGCGGTATATAAATTCAGTAAACAACAACAGCAACTTTGTATAAGGAAGCCAGCTATGCTCTATGATTAATCAACGGTGTTAGAGCTGTCATATCACTTTCAAATTCTGCTTTTTCAATAGTAGTAGTAGTAATAATAATAATAATAATAATAATAATAATAGAAGAACCATCTATTGTCAGTCTTCTGCCTTCATCTCCAAATAGTGTTCCTGCTATGAAAAATAGCCCTTCCTTGGTTCTATTTTAGTTCATTCTGCCTAAACCACTCCTTTCTCTTTCCATTTATTTCATAACTGGGCTTCTGGAGTGGCTGTTTCCCTGATCAGCGAAAGGAGATTCACGTAAAGCATCTAGGGAATAACTTATTGAATGCAAGTTTCAGAGTCTTCATCTTTATCCTCAGGGGCCTCCTTGCTTTCTTTTTCATAAATAATTCTGCTTATTGGCACAGGGCTCCTGAATGCTTGTGCAGTCTGCCAGTTTCCTTTGTTAAGAATACAGTGATGCTGCATTGTACCCTCTGGGTCTCTTGGCTGTTCAACATCCTGTAGCCACCAGTCCTACCAGGCTTGATTGTCTCTCCTGACACAAAGAACATAAAGCTATTGAATGCTGTCATGTGGAAAGATGACCTCAGTTCTCTTTTCTCTCCAGCCCACCCCACACTCAGCACCAGGAGATTGTATCTGGGTTGTGATAAGATGGCAGTGATGAGATGAGCTCCCTGCGATTATTTAATTGAACAGCCTTCCATATCATACTTGCTGCTTTTAGAGGAGTTGTTGGAACTAAAGGCCTTTGGACCAAAATCTGTAGATAGTGTTACCTACTAGTAGTGATGAAGCCATAGATTTCATAAGAAAACTCTTGGATCGGATACCAAATGCTTAGTGTTCTGTTTCCAGTAGTGGCCAGCTAAATACTTTTGGGAAGCTTGCAAACAAGCTACGAAGGTAGCAGCCCTTTCCACATCTGGTATTTGAAGTGGTTTCACTTAGGTATCGTATCTATTGGGCTGATAGTCTTTGGTGGCTGGGGAAACCCAGCCAGATGGGTGGGGTATAAATAATAATGATTAGCTATAATTATGATTAGCTGTAAGATCACTAAACTAGTGAAAGAATGGTGTTATTATTATTACATGTATTATTATAAAATTACTTGTGAAGTATGGAAAGAAAACACCATGCTTTCACTAGTTTAGTGATCTTACAGCTAATCATAATTAAATATCAAATTCTGCATATAAATGATTGCATTCATCTGGTTTAAATTGCTTCAGTCTAATAACAATTCCTTTTGAAGAGGGTGCTGCTGCAACAGTGTACAAAGTCTGGCTATATACATTGTTACAAGTCTCCAAAAACCCTGAAACAATAGCTTCCTCTCGGAGTGGAAGGGAGGTCTTTTCCATTCATAAGTTTGACTTCTGAATCTAGTAGTAATTCTTTATTTCCAATGGAATAAAGGTGTCGAAGGGTGCAGGACTGCAGCCCATGATGCTCTCTGAAATACTCCTTTTTTTGCTAATGGGGGAAGGCTGAGTGATGCTCTCTGGGCGATTTTTCTTCTTCTTAAGCAAGGCAATTTAGGCTGCAAGCCTAAACAGACTTACACAGGAGTAACTCCCATTGAGCTCGGTGAGGCTTCCTTCTGAGTGGTCATGTGAAGGATTACACTGCTCATGGTTTCATAGTCAAACATTTACTGAAGGGTCTTAACCATTAATATGGCTCTCCATATTGAGCATGCAGTGCTTGCATAATTCCTTAATACTCTGTAAACAGCCCAGCCTTTTATCTGTACTTCTCATTCGGTGGCTATGAGTGGCTTTGCAGTATAATGTGATTGGACTCTGCTGCCTGGGAGTGTGTATGTGTGTGGATTTAAAGGTTTCTTCTCTGAAGAGGCTGGATTTTCTTCTAAATGCATTGTTAAATCAGGGTTTTGTAATTGGTTGACTATCCAGACTGGTGCTGGGAAATGCATTCAGCTGTAGCTAATCATAATTAAATATCAAATCCTGTGTATGAGTTGGGGCATTCTTGTCTAGTGCTTGAGGGTTGTCTCCATAAATATTCCGTTGAGTGATCTACTTTTTTCATGTGCTACTTTATGGACTTGCCCTTTTGTATTTCTTGATCCCTCATTTTCCAACTGGAGTTAATTGCTGTTCTTTCTTAATAGGGCTCTGATATTTGTTCTGTTACTCACCTATACTGATTTTTCTCTGGCTTCTCCATATACCTGGAATGTGTTATATGCTAATATGCAGCGTATTTATCTCCCTTCTTACAACAAACTCCCGAACACGCTCTTACCCCTTCCCTGCTGCCCCCTTACAGCCTCCTTTAATATAAGTAAAAAAAAAAAAGCCATTTTAAAATTTACCAGTACATAAGGTTCTTCCTCATCTCATTGTCTAAAGATCTCAAAGCTGTGTACAAAACTACAACCTAAAAAAATTGAAACGGTATCATAAAACAGACATACAACAAAATCAGTAAAAGAGTGTGATAAAAAAAGGAATTATGTAATATCAGGATCCAGTCTTATGGACTAGGGAAATCACAGGCAAAACATATGCATTTACAAGTAATCTGAAACATCTGATGGATAATGCTTCACATATGGCAGATGGTAGGGAATTCCACAGTACAGAGATGATTATAGAAAAAGACAGTTTTGGGGTCACCACCCTGTGATATATTCTGTAGAGTATGTTTCCATGATTATCATTTCCTCAAATGATATACCAAAATGAAACATTTTAGTAATATATGGCTCTTGTTTTTCTGGAAGAGTCACACACAGTTTCTTGTCAACTTGAGCTAATTCAGCTGTTAATCTTTGTATTCAGATTCCCAGATTGCATGCCTCTTTTTAAAAGGAGTGCACAGGTATGAATTTATACCTATGATGTAACACCTGAAGCAGCCCTTAGCTGTGAGCTAGTTGGACAAGGGTTTGTTCTGCAAATTGTCTAGTATTAGGCATCATTATAAACAAATACTACGCATTTATAAAACTTCTTACAAAAATGTAAGGATTTTTTCTTGAATTTTTGCAAGACTGCTGGTCTGATTCTGCACAAAATCTATGCTGAAAGAATTGTACCTGCTGTACATGCCTTGCTAAATATTCAAGAATGGCATTTCGCTTTCCTTTGACAGGGCTGTATAGACAGTGACTCTGCCACTTCAGCAGAATGTTGCCATTACTTGTTTTGGGTAGCTGAGGATGCTGCTGGATTAGCATTTCTTCCATCTTTTGCTTGGCAGGGATCCAGGCCCTTGGATCCTTGTGAAGACCATTGGCACAGATAGCAGAAAGGGGACACACAAACTGATTGCATGGGAAGAATAACTTCTGTGTAGCAATGCATTATTCTTTAAAGCACAAATATGTTTGCATTAAGGCAAGAAAGCAGCCTTATTTTTAATCCTCAATTTTTAAGAGCTTTTGCCAAATGCTCTGAAGGTCAGAGGTGAATTTGAAACTCGGGACACAGGTGGGGAGGTGGGAAGAAAACTGGTGCTATTGGATTAAGAGGGGAATGAAATCGCTTTTTCAAGTCTGCCCTAAAAAGAACTTTTCAATGGAGTTGAAAAGGGAAGAGCAACATGGAAGTTTGTCCATTAGAGCAAATGGGGCGCTGTCCTACCACCTTAGAGTGCCATCAGTCAGCCCCCACCTGCATGCTTTCTTACTTACTGCTGGGCTTTAGTTTCATCTTCTGGGCTTTAGATTCATCTTCTGGGCTTTAGTTTCATCTTCTGGGCTTTAGTTTCATCTTCTGATGGGAGTTGTAGTCTAAAACATCTACAGGGCACCAAGATGAGCAAGGGTGGTCTAAAATCTCAGAAATGCCCACCCAGCTTCTCTCTGAACTCTGCTCTTCTATCTGTGCCAAGTGGGCCTTGCTTCCATTCTTTGGGAATGCATTAATTTGCATGCTGCTGTTTTCATTCATAAAATACAACAGATTGGTTGTCCTCCCTTGATGACCTTGGGAACTAGCAAGACCTGCTTGCTGGCAAAAGACTATTTCACACATGACTTAAATAGACTATTAAAGACTGCTTGTTCATTCTATCAGTGCTGCCGCTGCACCATAAAGTCTCTATCTACCTAACTAAGGTTTAGGTACATTTGAGGATGCATGTTTACTACTTCCAGGATTAGATATAAAAGAACTATTCTAATATCCTTTATTGCAGAAAAGCTCTTTTTATTCATTCTTTGCAGTATTATTCATGGCATTGTTAGGAAAGTCATTTCATGTTGTGTTTGACAAGATGCTCATGTCAGTCAGCTGTTACTATATGTTAAATTTTGTAGGATTGTGAAAGTTCTCTGAGACGTTCTATAATTTAGATCTAAAAGTCTATCTTTAGGAGGTTCCAGTGGACATTATACCTCCGGCTGCAATGTTGTGATTTCTTTAGTGTTCACACTGTTTTACCAGCCCCAAACCTTTTTTTTTGCAAGAGAAATATACAACATATACAAAATACAAAAAGAAACCACTACAAAACAACCAATTGTTTTTATTCTGGGCAAGCTTGAGTAATTAATGTAGAAATGACTAACGCTAAAAGCCTACTGTGTGCAGACTTATCATTCAACTTTTTTTTTACTATTGGTAGGTAGAGGCACTGGTGAAATCAACATTGGACCTTCATGGGAGGATAGATTTCCTGGTCAACAATGGGGGAGGCCAGTTTCCTAGCCCAGCAGAAGCAATTAGTTCAAAAGGCTGGAATGCTGTGATTGAAACTAATTTGACTGGGACCTTCTACTGCTGTAAAGCAGGTGAGCACTTGATGTACACAAGAAATAAGTAACTAAGCCATCAGAAGAACTCTCCCTCTGCTTTCCCCGTATAGCAGTTCAGTCTCTTTATCATTGCCATGGCATGTTCTTGCTCTGCTGTCCCCAGAAGCATTATAATCAGACATTCAGAGAACTTTGGGGTTCTTCCTGGGCTCAGCAGGTTATTAAAGGACTCCAGGCTAAGTTGTCACTGCTAACTAGGTTCGGTTGAAAGTTGGGTTGCCAGGTCTGTTGAAGCTCAGACCCTGAGACGCAAGGAGGAGAGGTTGGGGGCTAAGAGAGTCTGGATGCTGCCTTAGGTTGGAGGTTGACAGATATGGGGCAGTGGTAGCAGGATGAAGCCTCTTGAGCCAATAATACAATAGCCTGCTGCCTTGATTTTTGGTCCTCAATCTGAAATTCTGTTTTTGTAGAATCTTAGAGTTGGAAGGGACCCAAGAGTCATCTAGTCCAACCCCCTGCAATGCAGGAATCTCAACTCGTTTCCCCCTTCAAACCCTGGGAAGAAGGCTGAAATCTGACACCCCAGGTCAAACCATGAGACTTGACAAGTAGTTTCTCCCCCTGACTAATTTACAACTAGAGGTGGAAGAAGCAAGGGGTTTCTTTGACTATTTTTTTCCATGTCTGCAGATACCTACTGACTAGATGATAGATTTACATTTGAACACTGATGCTGTTTTTGGCACTAAGAAATAGTGGGTGACACGTGAGGCAGCAGGATCTTCCTTAAGGCTCCAGAGCAGTTTTTTCTAGAAGGAAAGGAGGTGGGGGCTGGAGGTGGACTGGATTGTCCAAAAGCGCTGTCAGTTCTAGTTCTCCATACTTGCCTAGAAACATTGTGCCTGGGTCATCAGGCCTAACTAGTTGGAGCCATTTTCTTAGGCAGTAGTAGACGAATTGGTAGCAAGATGGACAGGTATCCGTCAGGAAGCTGCCTCACACTGAGTCAGACCTGGTGTAGCTAGTCTTGCCTGCACAATGACTAGCAATGACTTTCCAGGATTTCACAAAGGAGACTTTCCCAGCCCTTTCTGGAAATGCCAAGGTTTGAACCTGAAACCTTCATGCAACAGATGTGCTGTCCCACTGAGCTGTGGTTTTGTGTTATACAGTACAGATGAATATCAATAGAGTTATAAGATGTGCATTCAGTTGTGATTCTCAGGTGAATATTTGGGTTTAATGTCATTGCTGCTTCCACCTCTGAGCAACTGGTTTTGTCAAGTTTTCTAAGGCTATGGAAATAAGGCTTGAGACAGATTTCATTCCACTCATGTGTTTACTGTAATCTTTGTACACCATTTATCTGGCAATGTAAAAGCCTTTATGACCATTCTTCTGTGTCTACCCAGTGTACAATGCTTGGATGCAGGATCACGGAGGTGCTATTGTCAACATCGTGGCTGATATGTGGAAAGGGTTTCCTGGCATGTCGTAAGTCTGCTATCCGTATACAATACACAGTCCACTTGCTTTCACTTAAACTGCTGTCCCTCTGAGTAGTCGTGTGCATTTGAATGGTAAAACAAGATGGAACAGCAGATTCCCAATATTTAACATGCACATTCCTTGAGATTCCATTTTAACAGAAGTCTTTGAGGAATTTGGGACTAAATTGCCGGTGCTTATGATCCTCACTTATTGTCACCTGCAAGGCTTTCCTGAGAATGCTCTTGAACAAAAAGTGGAATGCAGGAAGCAGTCACAGACAAGAAGAGGCTGCATTTTTCTTAGGCCAACTGGAAAGCAGAGTCCCTGTGCTGGGACAGTGCGATGAGTCTAGCTGAGGTCTGCCTATATAGCTGTGCATCTTTGCACATGCCTGTTTGTAATCTGCCATCTTACTGGGTTGCCCCAGCCACTCTGGGTGGCTTCCAACAAATATAAAAGCATAATAAAACATTGAACATTAAACACTTCCCTATACAGGGCTGCGGGTGGTGCTGTGGGTAAAACCTCAGCGCCTAGGGCTTGCCGATCGCATGGTCGGCGGTTCGAATCCCTGTGGCGGGGTGAGCTCCCGTCTTTCGGTCCCAGCTCCTGCCCACCTAGCAGTTCGAAAGCACCCTTAAGTGCAAGTAGATAAATAGGTACCGCTTTATAGCGGGAAGGTAAACGGTGTTTCCGTGTGCTGCGCTGGTGCTGGCTCACCAGAGCAGCTTCGTCACGCTGGCCACGTGACCCGGAAGTGTCTCCGGACAACGCTGGTCCCCGGCCTCTTAAGTGAGATGGGCGCACAACCCTAGAGTCGGATACGACTGGCCCATACGGGCAGGGGTACCTTTTATACAGGGCTGCCTTCAGACAGCCCCAATGACATAACTTCTCATGCATTTGCAGTTTAGTTCAAGAGGACTTCTCTCATAAACATAGTGAAAGGACAGGGCACCATACCGACTTCTGTTTTTGTACTGGAAGTTGTTTCTGCAAAGTTCCTACAGAAGACTGAGATGTCCGGAAGCGCAAAGTACAATTTTATTATCAACCTTGCACCTCAGAAGTCTCAGTCTTCTGTAAGCCATGCTTTTTTCTCAGTCATTCCCTATACTTCTATAACTTGTTGTTTATAATTTGATGAGTCATACAGAATGCTATTAACATTGTGAGCTTTTCGTTGGGCTGGAATAATTGGACAAACACAAAATATTGAAAAATTTTTTTTACTGCAGGCCTTCATCCAGCCTTTGTTCATTGTTTGTGTTAGCATTGAGTTTGCAATTAAGCTTCTAGAATGTCAGATATTGCTAACTTGACTCCCCTGTTCTGCTGAGATTTGTTTTGGATTTGTTTGATTGGATGACTGCTTGTCAGAGTGTGAAACCTAGTTAGGCTTGCTAGGTGTCGCTAAAGTTACTTCAAAGCATCCAGTCTTGATGGAGCTGCCACATACCCCATGTCTATTTATTGATGGAAAATAATATTGCCCTTTTAAAATTTCCTTCCCTCACAGACACAGTGGTGCAGCAAGAGCCGCAGTCGATAACCTGACCAAAAGCCTAGCCATCGAGTGGGCCCGCAGTGGAGTGAGAATTAACTCTGTTTCCCCGGTAGGTGACAGAAACATGTGACCAGACCAGCTTTGGTGCCTGTGAGGGAAGAGTCAAATTAGTACAAATTTGTAAAATGATCATTTAGTTTGGTTTAGCTGAGATAGAATAAGATAATTCCCTACCAGCTGCGCATTTGGTCATAATTATTTGAGTCTATTAAGGGTTTTTGTAGTTAAACCTACTAATAGCATCCAGGGTTTGGGATGGGTCTTAGGATATGGAAATGGAGGACGATTCTTTCTTTCTTTCTTTCTTTCTTTCTTTCTTTCTTTCTTTCTTTCTTTCTTTTACAAATTTATAAGCTGCTTCACAGACTGAAGCTGCCAAAGCAAACTACAACAGTATAGAAATGTGATAAAATGCAAGCTCCCAAAACAATTTCTATAGATATACAATGTGTCTTCCTTGAATGACTGGGTCACACTTCGGGGAAAGCTGTCTTAAGCAAAAATTACTTTGGTACATGCCTAAATATCATGATGCAACTCTTCACAGAGATTGAGTGGTTTATAAAAGATTCAAATAATAAGTGCCGTTAAGCCAAAAGGAGAGAGGACAATTTAGTTGCAAGGAATAGAAACTATGCTTTTTAGTGCGTGTGCTTGGTTTATTTTTTAAAAAATATATTATTATCATTCTACCGCATCCTTCCTTCTGCAGGAGACCGTTGGAAAGTACACATAATCAAGAAAATACAAATGGTTAAAAAAAAGTTTTAAAACTGCCATGCAAACAATAATACCAATAAAACAATTTAAATACATTATACAGTGGATGAGGAATATTGGGCCGTCAGTCTCAGTTGCCATTAAAGTGGTTTTTCCTCAGGGTGAATCCTGCACCACACAAGAACAGAATGTTGCGTTGGGAATTGTGGCATATGCACAGCCCTATTTATTGAGGGAATTGTAAGCAAGTTAAAGAGCCAAGATTTTGAATAAGAGCTGGAATTTATTTTTATCCCCTTCCCCAACCATGTAGGTCTTAATGAGCACCTGCTTTTCAGTGTAGAGGGTTCAATGTTACTGTATTAAGCATTAATGGAGTCTTACTGTGAGTCTGTCCTTTTCTTCATAGGGAGTGATATTTTCAGAAACTGCTGTTGCACATTACAAAGATGGTGAAGAACTGTTTAAAAGCTATGTCCGAAAAATTCCTGCCAAGAGATTAGGACTTCCTGAAGAGGTATTGCAGTATTTCAACCTAAAAGTTACCTTTTGGCACTGAGGGTCTTTCCGGATGATCAGTAGTGGCACCCACCCTGTGGAACTCCCTCCCACCAGATGTCAAGGACATAAACAACTATCTGACTTTTAGAAGACATCTGAAGGCAGCCCTGTTTAGGGAAGTTTTTAATCTTTGATATTTTATTGTGTTTTTAATATCCTGTTGGAAGCCTCCCAGAGTGGCTGGGGTGGCCTGGCAGGATGGGTGGAGTATATGTAATTTTATTTATATATATAATGTGTGTGTGTGTGTATGATTCCCCCCCCTGTACACAACATTTGCACAAAGTAGTGCAAATAGCAGCCTTGCTGTGGGAGATGGTTTTTGGTGGTACTCCTGATCAGCATGTGTGTGAACAGGGATAGGTCAGCAAGGGCCAAATACAGTCCTTCAGGCCTCTCATAGAATAACTAATGCATTAAGGGGAAATGGTGCTATTGCATTGGAAAGAGGAATTTCATGACACTGGAAAGAACACCCTAAATTTCAAAGAGTAAGATGTTTGAAGACGCATACCACTAACTAATATGTTCATACAAAAAAGGATTATTAGAGTACTCTTTAAAGGGCAAGCTATGTGCCTGGCATTGTATAAACCTAAAATAGGTATCCTGATTATGCTATAATTATGTTGTATGTGTCATCCACTCCACAGTAGGAGCAAACGCCACATTGCAAGCCTGCTGGTTGAACTTGCAGAACTTTTGAATGTGCAGTTTATCATAGAACCTTGTTCAGTTTTGAAGGTGATTTTTGAGTACTTTTAGAATGGATCGTTCCGCTGACATATCCAAGCCAGCAAAGCATTGAAATGATATAATATTTATGGACAGTAAAATACCAAGCATTTTCTTTTTGACTTGAACATTTTGTATTTAGTAATATACTCATGTGGACCACTGGTCAGTAATCTTCTGTAATTGATCAGTAATGACTTCTGCTCTAAGAATCACCTTCAAATAGGAAGCTAACAGGAACCCTTTTCAGAAATGTGCATTCAATGGACGCATGCAGGGCTGGTGGCACCCTACATGCTTATCAGTGTGCATTGACACCATGCTTTTGACATACAAATGCATACGTTTGCACATGTGTAGGGCAGAATCTATACACTACTGCCTTGGTTGTGATGAATGCATGAAGCCTTGCCTGCATTTTTGAAAAGTGCTATGGCATGGCAGGCATTGAACACCTGTAATTCACATAAGTAAATGTCTCGAATCTTTATAAGGTATCTCCCTTGGTGTGTTTCCTGCTGTCTCCGGCTGCCTCTTTTATCACTGGAGAAACTGTGAAGGTTGATGGTGGGCAGAGCATATATAGTTCCCCATGGGAAGTACCAGGTAAAAAACCCCGCTTTTTAAAAACTACTTTTAACAAATAGCTTGTTCAGTTATATGCCCACCCAGGGCCTGTTTAGATCTCTTACACTCTTTTGTGGAAATCAACACTTCAGTTTTATCATAGTTTATTGTCAGCTTTCAGTAGCTTGATAATTTAGTTGTGAGTCTTTTTAGGTCCAGCCTGGGATTGTAGAGTAATACAACTCACTGTAATAAAAGGATTTCTATACTAGCCAGTCTGGGCCAGTGGTGCTGTGAACCCTGAATGCTTCCCGCCCCCCAAACTATATGCTCAACAGCCTTAACTTAAAGGTTCTAGTCTTATGGCTGCCTTAACTCTCATGACATTGGAATGGGATTGGTAAAAACACTCTTGGGATTACCCCAACCTCAGTTATTGAATTGCCATATAGCTGTCTTATAAACAACAAGAAGCAACCTATTTACAAATTTTTTTTGAAGGATTTTAATAGACAACAAGGATACATACAATGTCTCTGTTCTCAGTTCATAGAGTCCTTTCTATAGGTCAGTTACATTCAGTGTGAGACACTGCTGTCATAGAGATTATGAGGTGGAAGAAGTGAATGGGGGAAGAAAGGGGGTAATGATTTTCCATTATTTTGACAAATAACCCTTTACTTAACAATGTCACATCTAGTTTTTCCCAGATCTTCGTGTGCTGAATCCAAAGCTGACTAAAGATCTGTAGAAATATAGTTTGCCTTTTTGGTGTTTGGAAGATTTTTCAGCCGAAATGAACAAAACTAATGCATGGTCCATAGCTTTTTCTCCTAGGATCTCTTCCTATACATGTTGGAAAGACAGTGCTGTAATTTGGATCACTGTAGATATGTAACATGATATTTTTTGGAAATAATTCGATAAAAGGGTGTTTGGAGAGCATTTCCTTTAGCCCAGTCTTCCCCAACCTGGTATCACTATTTATTTTGGACTATAATTATCATTAGCCATGCTGGTGGGGACTGATGGAAATTGTAGCCCAAAACAACGGAAGGGCACCAGGTTGGGAAAGGGTGATTTATACTTAAAGGAAATTTTCTTTCTTTAAGAGAGCTGCTCATCGAGATCTAGCTGGGTTAAGGTGAGATGAAGCAGCCACTAGCTTTTGAAGGTAACTGTCTTATTGTATCCTTTCCCACAGATCATAATAGATGGCCACCTGCACCAGATGGAGATAATGCCAAAGCACTCAAGAAGATACTTTCAGGAAAAGCTTTGTCAAAGCTGTAAAACAAAAGAAATGGGGTTAGCCCCCTTCCATGCCTGTCAGTGGATAAATGCTGCCTTTCAGTAATTGACTGCAGTCTTGAGGATCACAGCCCCACTGGGGTAACAAACTGTGCCTTAGTTTTCTTCTTATGATTTCTCTGAAGAAAGTCCTTCAGAACCAAACAACTGTCAACATGTGCTGCTGCTGGCTTTGATGTAAAAGGGTAAATGCATCTCTCATGACTTCTGCTTTTGCAATTTGCACTCTAAGCTCTGCTCACTAAATCACGTACATATGCTGCATTAACAAGGTGCTGAAGTGAATTACGGTCCAAGTTCTGTAGCTTGCTCTCATCACAGCCTTTCTGATTGCCATGCATTGATTACTCACTTCTGCCATAAGAGTCTTTGGCACAGCTCCCAGAGATGAGAGATGTTGGTGCACAATAAACTGGTGGTTTGTATCTATGTTCAAAGTTGTGTTTTATCTTCAGTGGGAGTAGGCAGCATGGGTACTAACTGCCACTTGAAAACATCTTTAGGTAAAAAAGGTAAAGGGACCCCTGACCATAAGGGACCCCTGACTCTGGGGTTGCGGCGCTCATCTCGCTTTATTGGCCGAGGGAGCTGGCGTACAGCTTCCGGGTTATGTGGCCAGCATGACTAAGCCGCTTCTGGCGAACCAGAGCAGCGCACGGAAACGCTGTTTACCTTCTCGCTGTAGTGGTACCTGTTTATCTACTTGCACTTTGACGTGCTTTCGAACTGCTAGGTTGGCATCTTTAGCCTGTACTATACTTTAAAAGTTCAGAGATTCAGAAAGGGAAATGCCTTCATCTGGAACGCACAGAGAAAACAATGGCAAAGCTTTAGTTAGTAGGTTACTGTATTTCTGGAAAACGTAATTAACAGATTGCCTTGGTGTAGGGTGGCTGCATTTAATTCAATCTTTGACGAGAACAAACATCAGCAACCTATTAAGGAACCCTTTAGTGACTCTTCTGTTATTTCCCTGCCTACTGTGGCCCACAGTGCTTCAGGAAGGACTGGCTTGTTTGTCTTTCTTAAGCAGTCCAGAGAAGCTCCAAAAAGTGATAATGGGAACATTCATAATTGAAGACACGTGAGAGATCTTCACTTACGCTCTTTGCTGATAAAGCCAGATGCTGGAAAACAAGATGTCTATGGGCTAACAAACTACTTTCACTCCATTTTTTTGCTTTGCTCTCTTGAATGTATATTGTGAAACACTTTTCTTACTATGGACTTCAGAATGTGTTGCCCAGCATTGACATCTTGACCCTAATGTCACTTTATTTCCTGTTTCATAGTGATGGAGGGTTTCTATCCTGGAGGTAATCATAGTTAAAACATTTGCTTTTATTTTTATTTTTCCATCCTGGATTAGATGCTGTTCTTGTGTTTGACACTGTGGTTCCGTTTAACTTCCAAACGGTATTGTTCATTTCTGTACAATGGGCCGGAAATCAACAATGCACAAAACACTTCCTTAAAAACAAACAATGTCTCCTTCACATGGGTTTATGCAAATAAAACATTTAACAGAAAGGTGTACACACATATACAGTGGTGCCTCGCAAGACGAAATTAATTCGTTCCGCAAGTTTTTTCTTCTTGCGAGTTTTTCGTCTTGCGATGCACGGTTTCCCATAGGAATGCATTGAAAATCAATTAATGCGTTCCAAGGGAAACCGCCTTCAGACCAGGTCCGGGGACAGTCTCTCCCCCGACCTCTTCTGAAGGCTGGGGGGGGGGACAAGGGCTTCTGAAGGCTGGGGGGGCTGGGGGGAACAAGGGCTTCGCTGCCGACCCCCAGCATTTTAAAATCTCACCGGGACACGGGGAGATTTTAAAATGCTGGGGGTCGACAGCGAACGCTTCGCTGATCCCGGGACGGCAGGCAGATCTGCACCGCCATCCAGAGCGGGGCGGGACTTAGCGCCCCGCTCGGGATGGCGGCACAGATCTGCCTGCAGTCCCGGGATGGCAGACAGCTCTGCGCTGGCATCCAGAGCGGGGCGGGACTTAGCGCCCCGCTCGGGATGGCGGCACAGATCTGCCTGCAGTCCCCGGACGGCAGACAGCTCTTCGCTGGCATCCAGAGCGGGGCGGGACTTAGCGTCCCGCTCGGGATGGCGGCACAGATCTGCCTGCAGTCCCGGGACGGCAGACAGCTCTGCGCCGCCATCCCGAGCGGGGCGGGACTTAGCACCCCGCTCGGGATGGTGGCGCAGATCTGCCTGCAATCCCGCGACTGCAGGCAGCTTTGCGCGGCCATCTGGAGCGGAGCGGGCTTCGCCCCCGGCTCCCGATGGCCGCGCAGAGCTGCGCTGATCCCGGGACGGCAGACAGCTCTGCGCCGCCATCCCGAGCGGGGCGGGACTTAGCACCCCGCTCGGGATGGTGGCGCAGATCTGCCTGCAATCCCGCGACTGCAGGCAGCTTTGCGCGGCCATCTGGAGCGGGGCGGGCTTCGCCCCCGGCTCCCGATGGCCGCGCAGAGCTGCGTTGATCCCGGGACGGCAGACAGCTCTGCGCCGCCATCCCGAGCGGGGCGGGACTTAGCACCCCGCTCGGGATGGTGGCGCAGATCTGCCTGCAATCCCGCGACTGCAGGCAGCTTTGCGCGGCCATCTGGAGCGGGGCGGGCTTCGCCCCCGGCTCCCGATGGCCGCGCAGAGCTGCGCTGATCCCGGGACGGCAGACAGCTCTGCGCCGCCATCCCGAGCGGGGCGGGACTTAGCGCCCCGCTCGGGATGGTGGCGCAGATCTGCCTGCAGTCCCGCGACTGCAGGCAGCTTTGCGCGGCCATCTGGAGCGGGGCGGGACTTCTCTGCTGTCCCGGGGAGATTTTAAAATGCTGGGGGTCGGCAGCGAACGCTTCGCTCCCGCCCGCCAGCATTTTAAGATCGCCCGGGGCAGCGGAGAAGTCTCCGCTGTCCCGGGAAGGCAGGCGGGGGGGGGGGGAGCAAAGACTTTTGCCCCCCGCCGGCCTTCAGAAGAGGTCCAGGACCTCTTCTGAAGGCCGGCTGTGGGCGAAAGTCTTTGCTCCCGACCGCCAGCAATTTAAAACAGGTCCCCGGAGATTTCCCTATGGGCTTTCGTCTTGCGAAGCAAGCCCATAGGGAAATTCGTCTTGCGAAGCGCCTCCGAAACAGAAAACCCTTTCGTCTTGCGGGTTTTCCGTCTTGCGAGGCATTCGTCTTGCGGGGTACCACTGTATATTACACAGAATAAGGCTTACTAGAACTACCGCAGGTTCCCAGAATGGAAAAGGCTGTGTTTCCGGATTCCACCTAGTGACTAGCCAGACTATTACATTTCATCTATTTATAGACAACTTAATTTTCAGAATTTCTGCACCTTGCCCATAAACGTGTTTTAAAAATAATAATACAGGAAACAAGAATGATAAAAATTTGTCTCCCGAATAAGCCAGCTTTAAGCCATGCCTGGCGTGCTCTGGTCCATGGGGTCATGAAGACTAAACGACTAAACAACAACAACAAAGCCACGCGAGTTCTGTTGGCTTGTTGATATCCCTCGCCAGCACAGCATTCCTGCACACACGCGCTCTCCCCAGGCTGCGTCCTAGGGGATCGAACCCGCGATCCAAGGACTGGCAGAAAGGCAGGCAGGCAAGCACTGCCCCAAAGAGATCCACAAGGAGGTAGGGGAAACTGCGCATGCTCCTTCTGATAATCGCTTTTCGCGTCATCGGCCACTGTGTGGCGAGCGTCGCTCGCGAGGTACGGAGAGCTCTGAATTGTGCACCACAGAGATAAGAATATAGAAAAGGCCATCATTATATCGAGACGGAGAATTCCGGGTTCGCACAAGAGTGTGTCTGTGGGGTCAGAAGCGAGCGCTGCCCCTAGAAATCAGTGGAGAAACAGGATTTTGTAGGAGGTGAAGCTAAAGTGAGAAGCAGGGCTGACTTTCCACTCAAGGCCGCCTAATGCAAAACAGCCTTCAGCTCAATCTTATTCATTTGCCTCCTCAAATCAACCTGTCAGGCCAGCTCCAATATGCAGTCGCATGCCAAAGCATTATGTTTTTAAAACTCTAATTACTAAAATAAATATATTTAACAATATACACAAGAAATCGGGACGTGAACAAGGAAGAGTGTGAAGTTCTGACTTTTCTACCTTGTTTGAGGAGAGCTCTAACTATATTATAATTGTGGATTTCTCCATTGTTAGAAGGAGAAAACATTTACAATTAACCCGGAAATTTCTTCCTAGCAAAATCCAGTTTTACAAATATACGATCCAGATCAATTTTAGAATGGAAATGTCAGTTAATTTCTTTGGATCCTGCAACTTGCAGACTTGTGAGTCCCAATCAAGGAAGTTCTGCTTCTATACTGTATAAGAGTTGCGTTTATCCTCAGTTGGTAGTTCTCGGACACAAAGCATATTTATTTCGGCGGTGGATTTATTTTATTTTATTTTTTTACATCTTAGAATCCCCAAGACCTCCAGCGCTGTCGCTCTGCGCTCAGAGGAGATCATAGATGCCGGGTTTCCTTTTTATTTTTTTCCCCGACAGGCAGTTGGACGCTATGGGAAGACGGGGTGGGTGTCCTCAGACGTCACCGGAACTACAACTCCCATGATCCCTCATTATTGGCTACGCTGTCATGGGGCTTGCTGGGAGTTGTAGTCCTACGACTTCACAGGGTTACAAAAGCTATCCTTTCGGGAGACTCTTTCTCCGAGCGCGCTTCTTCAGGCCACCCGCGAGCCCCTTTCCGAATAAAGTCTCCGTAGGGGGTCGCGGCTCTTTCCCTCCTTCGTGCCTTTTATTTATTTATTTATTTAGGCGCGACGTGCGTCGTGACGTTGAGACGTTCCGTCGTGTGTGTGTGTGTGTGTGTGTGTGTACGGGAGTCACGGGCTCCTGCGTGGGGGGAGGCGGAGCCTGAGGAGATCTTGAGGAGGAAAAAGAACAGGGGTTGCTTGTGAGGGGTGGGGGTGGGGGAAAGGGCTGCTCGAATAGGAGACGGGCACCGGGTTGGGGTGGTGGGGGCCCCTTGCGCGCTTCGTTCCCTTCCCCCTCCGGCCCCCGGCTAGCGCAGGGGAGAGTGAGGGGGCCGCTGCCTCATTGGCCACTTCCACCTCCCCCCCGGCTCTTTCTGTGGGTCTGTCCCCCTACCCCCGCATCGACGTGCTGCTTGCCCCCCTCCCTGCGGAGGGGGTGTTGCTGGGCCTGCTGTTCTCCCCCCACCCCGCGCTCCTCACTGGTACCCGGTGAGGGGTGAGAGTGGGTCTGACCTCAGCTGAAAGCCAGGATCCTGGACCCCTCCGGTGTTCGAGGCCTGGAGCTGCCGGCTTCTGGGGGGGAGGAAACCCTCCGCCTCCCCCCCCACTTCCTCGTCTCTGCCCCACAGGTAGGTAGTGTGCACGCGCGCGCGTTCATGTCGCCTGCTCTGGTGTCTGAGG